TATGATATCATTATGTTTGTACACCTGCATCTAATATAATGCAGAAAAAACTTAAACATAGTAAGATTAACAATAGTTCTACAATGTTATGTAACACTAGGGTAATCAAGTTTGCCTAGGACAGACCCAATTTACACCTTTGTACCAACACAATTATTTATAGTGTCTCCTTTAACTCTCAATGTGCCTTGTTTAGATGAAAAATTATATAAACACCCTAGTTATGAATTTATGTTCAAATTACCCAATTGACTTAAATATATCTTTTTACAATTTATTTATTGAAACGAAATCCATCATTGCATTCGATTGAGGTGTCTTCAAAAACATTTACTCTATATCAGTTCTTCCTCTACTCCATTTCTTAAAAAAATTTTTTTTTTTTTTTTATCCTCACTCGAGGACATTTTTCCATTTTTTGTTCAGATAGAGCAGGAGGGAGAGAGAGAGAGAAACATCGATGTGAAGGGACACATCGAGTGGCTGCCACCCGCACGACCAACCAGGGCCGGGGACAAACTGCAACCGAGGTACATGCCCTTAGCGGGAACCAAACCCGGGTCTCTCTGTACCGCAGGCCGACGCTCCAACCGCTGAGCCAAACCGGCCAGGGCTATTTCTTTCATGCTAGTTATTTATTGAAGAAATTTGGTAATTTGTGCAATTTCCCACATCCTTAGCTTGGCTGATTAAACTTTCTTGGTAGTGTTTAATTTGTTTCTTTGTCCTCCATGTTTCTTCCCATTTGGTAATTAACTCTAGGTGTTTGATTAGCTTTAGGTTCAAATTTTGTGCAAGAATATTTCATTGATGGTGTATACTTCCTATTGTGTTGCACCAGGAGGTACATGGTATCTGGTTGTCTCACTTTTAGTGATGTTAAGATAAGTCAGTGGGTTCAGGTTTTGTTAGTTCAGTACAGCCAGTACAAAGTTTCCTATCAACATTCTACTCCATAATTTTAACAGCCATAGATGATTGTTGCCTACTGTCAGTGCTACATTAGGAGTTGTGAACACTGACTTTCTAATTCTATCAGTTCTGCTTCCTTTGTTATCCTTGCAAACTATCTGGGCAGCTTGAAATAGCAAAATAAATGCTTGAATTTTTCACCTCTAATTTACCAATGTTCAACATAAAGAATTGGTTACGTAGCTGATCCAAAGGTGAATGATGAGGGATTTTTTTTCTTTATAAGTATTACTATGAATTCATGGATTTGTATATAGTTGATACATTTCTATCCATTAGTCATTATTCTTTTTAAAATCCAACTGTTCCACCTTTGGCCAGATGGTGCTCCCATCATCTTTGCTCTTGGGTTCTTCTGACATAAGCTCGGTAGTATTTGATAGCCGCCTTCCTTTCTGGTGTAATAAAGTGCCACACAATCCCTGCCAATAATTTCCTAAGGAAGTCCTGGTTCCTCGTAGTGGACCATGGCCTTGAGATTATGGATTTGGACACTAGGGTTGCTCATAGCCATTAGACTGCCATTGCTTCTTGGCTTTTTCAGTGAACACAGCTAGGATATATATATTTTGTAAAAAGGTAAAAATTAATCAAATTCATACTACAAATGACAATTCAAATTTTCGATTACAGAATTTATACCTAATTTACTGATTTGATTCTTGTATCTCTTATCTTTTACTGAAGACCTTGGTTTCTAACAATATATATATATTTTTTAATCCTCACCTGAGGACATTTTTCCATTTTTTTTGTTCAGATAGATTGGGAGGGAGAGAGAGGAAGAGAGAGGGAGAGAGAAACATCGATGTGAAAGGGACCCATCGAGTGGCTGCCACCCGCACGACCAACCAGGGCCGGGGACAAACTGCAACCGAGGTACATGCCCTTAGCGGGAACCGAACCCGGGTCTCTCTGGACCGCAGGCCAACGCTGTAACCACTGAGCCAAACTGGCCAGGGCGGTTTCTAACAATATTAAGATACTTATTTGTGCCCTGGCTGGTTTGGATCTGTGGTTAGAGTGTCGGCCCTCAGACCCAAGAGTCCAAGGTTCCTTTATAGCCAAGGGCAGTACCTCCACTGCGGTTCACCCCAGCCCCACTGGGGTCATGTGGGTGGCAGCCAGTCGATGTGTCTCTCTCACATCGATGTTTCTCTCTCTCTCTTTCTCTCTCTCTCTCCCCCCCCACTCCCACTCTATCTGAAGATACATGTAAAAATATCCTCAAGTGAGAATTAAAAAAATATATATACATATATATTATTTGCTATTTTATATACATGTATGTAAAATATACATAATATATACAATGGCATCTAAATAACAATACCAGTGTCATTACTAACAAATAGTATACCTAAATTCAGTCTGGTCTGTTTGCTATTTGTTTTTTCCTTTGGATGTGTAGTGAAAATAATGAGTTTTAAAGTCAGCTTCTTATCGCTCTGTTCAGTTATAAGAGTAACTCCGTAGGTTTACAGTTATGAGTACACGAAACACAGAGTTTATTCTTGTATTATTATTTATTAATTACTGTATTATTTGCCATATGAACAACTGTAAACCTACGTTTGCCCTACCCTGTACTTTGTCTTTTTTTTCTTTTAGAAAATGCTTTGTTATTTTCTTTTTAAAATTTATATAAAGCATGCACATGATTCCAAAGTCAAACTATAAAACACAGTACATGAAGTCTAGGTGCCATCCCCATTTTTTTTCACCCTGTTGTCTTATGTGTAATCATTTTTACTAGTTTGTAATTTATACTTTCATTGCTTCTTTAAAATGTAAGCAAATGCACACCTCTTTCTAAGAAGAAAGGCAACATATACATGGTCTCAGCTCTGCTTTTTCTTCACTTAATATGTACTAGAGTTCCCTGGCCTTCCACAGAGATAGTCTTGCTCCTTTGTACAGCTATACAAAACTGCATTGTGTGGATGCACCATGGTTTATTCAGCCAGTGCTCTGTGGATGGACATGTGGGGTTCAACGAACATTTATTGCATGACTTAAACTGTGCCAGGCACTGAGGGTAAATACATGGTCTCTGGCGTCAGGAAACCCTGAGTGCAGAGGGGGAGACCTCTGCAATACAAGTACTTTCCTCATAACAGACTGAGACCTTGGATCCACTTAGCACAAGGGCCCCTGGAACAGGGAAGACAGGCTCCCACACAGGAAGGATACAATAACTGTCTGTGGATTGGCATCTTGCTGGCACACTGACCTTAGTATGGGAGAGCCCCCTTGGGAGGAAATGTTTATCTATATTTGAAATACCTTAGAAAATCATGAGTGCCACCAATTGGTCAGAAAAGGCAAAGCCAAATAAAAAAGCAGAGAAGGGCCCTAACCACAAAAATTCCCCTAAAAGAGATGTAAGTTAACACAGAAGCTGTGGTTTAACAAGCGCTAACACCTGTATGGAACTTACTGACCGGAGAGTGTTCTAAGTAGTTTACATATATATTTAACTCCCTATTTCTCATAACAAGTCTACGAAGTAGGGATAAATAATAATATAAAAAATGATAAAGTAGGGAATATTTTTGCCCGCATTTTACAGTTAAAGAAATTAAGGCACAGAGAGGTTACCGAACTTTTTCCCAACGTCACACTGCGAGGGAGGGAGGGAGCAAGGAAGGAAACCGCACGCTCGCTGGCTGCGCCCTTTGCAAGGAGGGACAACTGCACTGCCAGTCTCCGCCCTCTCGGCGTGGTAACCGCTCCCCGGGGAGGAGAACCAACTCCCGACACCTTCATCCCTGCACACACACACCCCGGAAAATCCTGCGGGGCTTTCTCTGCACTTTTGGGGGCTCGGAGGCTGGAAGAATCCCAAAGCCTGGAAGCGACCAGCTGGGTGCATGGAGGAGGCTCAGCCGGCCCACCAGCAGCGCGGGTCTAAGCTGCGGCTGCCCTCCAACTCCCCGCGGGGGTCCCTCACCTAGAAGCTGTCCAGCCCGCTTTCGGACCCCTCCCGGTGTCCGGCGCCCATCTCTCTGAGCTCGTGCCCACGCCTTGGCACCACTGAAATATGCTACCTCGGCTCCTCCGACAGTATATAGATACCTGAAGTCACGGACCAACTTCCAAAGTTGGCCAGGTACTGTGACCAGCCCCTGGGGAACCCAAGGTCATTGGACACAATTCCCCCCTCTGAGAACCCACAGCACCGGGAGAAATGCCGGCTCGGTTTGAGGGATCTCACGGACCGTGGCTCCCCTTCCCATTCAAAACCGAACCAAAGGTTTGCTTTGCGGCGGGCTGCGCCGCTCGCGGGCTCTGGCTCCGGCTCCGGGCGCCGCCTGTCGCCCAGATCCGGCACCGCGCGCGGCTGCGGGGAGCCCCTGGCGCCCACGCTCGGGAGTTAGACTAGTTTCCGACTTTGGGCATGACACTGGCATTAGTCCTTCCCAAAGCCAACTTTTTGAAAAGCTGGTTGCATGTGGCTCAGTGCATTGAGCTCACTCATCCCATGGACTGAGAGGTCCCCATTTGATCCCCAGTAGGGGGCGTGTAGAGGGCGTGCAAGCGGCGGCGAGCGGAGGGGCGAAGATGGATGTAAATTTCTCTTTCCCGGATGTTGGGTATTTCTATTTCTCTCCCTAAAAATCAATGAAGAAAACAATTTTTTAGAAGTATATATATATATGTTTTTATTATTTCTTTTTTAAAGGAGATAAGGGAGAGCGAGAGCGAGAGCCGTCGGTGAGAGACATCGACTAGTCACCTCCCGCCTGCCTACTGGGGTCGGGCCCTCTACTTGGGCACGTCCCCTAAACCGGGAATGGAGCAGGTGACGACGCTCAACCACTGTCACACCGGCCAGTCAATGGAAACATTTTCAAAAGCAAAACACAAAAAAAACTTTTGTTGCACATGTAAAGACCTCTCCGTAATTCCATCTCGAGCCAACACGAAAAAAACCCAAAAAACTCCAGGTAATAGTTATTGAAATAAAGAAAATAGAACACCCTACTGTGTAATTGCCCGAATGTTTACATGATCCTCCAAGTTCACGTCAGACGGGTGATGTGCCACGATCGTAACAAGGTTTAGTGGGAGGCACATTTCATACACGAGTATGAAAACCCAATCATCACGCTTATGAACTACAAAAGGATCGAGGGTAGTGATCTACTGAAGGATTCTCGAGTATGGCCCACCAAGTTTTAAGAAAGGGTGACATATATGGTCCAAATATATTCGGTCTTGACACAAAAGATCCTGTATATTTTAAAAATCTCACTGATATTCTGCAATTTTTCTCTTATTTTTACCTAGTAAGTGAAAACAGAAACAAAATTAGTGAGCGGATCATTCTCTATGCAAATTTTTCTCAGTAGCTCCACCCTTTCATAAACCTGACTCTTTATTGCTTTACGACGGTAGGTCGTGAAATAACGAAGCATTGCCGTAGCATGGGCGGAAGCTAGCCTTGCGCTTTGCGGCAACGACCTTAGCCAGATCCATATCCTGATAGGTCCAGCACGTGCAGGAAGAGCAGCAGGTACCGGTAGCCGTTTTTATATCAAACTTTAGGGCTTTTTGTTTGTTTGTTTTTGAGTCTTCCAGAAGGCAAGAATAATTTCTCTGGTTCACAGTTGGGAGTCTGAGATTCTGTTGCGACTCCTAGAGAGGTTCCCTTCCCTTTTCTGCATCTTTTCCTTGACGCACACTTTGCTCTCCATGCCGGTTAGACTCGCCCTCCGTTTGCCTAGATGTGTCGCCGTTTGATTTGGTTTTAGTTCTGTTCTTTGGGAGCATTCCAGCATTCGGCGATCTTTCCAGCTCTCTAGCGGATCCCCTCCCGGCTCCAGCTTCGTCCTCTGAGGGAGCTCAGCCCTTCGCTCGCAGCAGGCAGGCATGGAGCACGACAGCTCCCGGGAATCCCCATCGCGGGACGGTTCTTCCTTGCCCGGAGAGTGGCTTTCTTCCTCCCTCGGACAGGCCTTCTCCCAGATTGTGCACCGTCTTAACGACCAGGAGTCCCGACGCGGCAGGGCCAGAAATCGAGCTCTTCAACACCTCGATGTTCTCCTGGAATCCAGACCGTGTCATCGGTTATTTGAGGGGAGTGGCGCATCGCTCCTTGGAATGCCCGAGATGCTGGGCAAGCTGGCAAAAGCGCTGGAGAAGTGTGCAGCCCCACCCAAGGAGCAGGAAGGTAGAGAGGATGGTTACTCTGAGGGGGCCGAGCAAGCGGCAGAAGTGGGATCACTGTTCATTAAGCTATTAAGAATAATTGTGTCTGCCAGGGGTTGCTTGCTTTTCCGTGAATGGGAGAGTGTCGTCCAGCACTTGGCAGGACCCATCTATATTTTTGCCGTCACGCACAGCTTGCAGCAGCCATGGACCACGCCAAGGTCTCAGTTCATTGCTGGAAAGGTGCTCGCCTTACTGCTTCAAATTACTGGATGTGATTCTGTGGCAGGATTCCTGTACGGAGAAAGTGAAGATGAGAAAGGGAAATTTACTGAGATTATGGAGCTGCTTAAGCCCGATTTGAATAAGTGAGTATCCCTGCAGAAAGGGCCAACTAATTGAACTTCAACCTGTTTTAGAATGTTAGAGCTCAAAGGAACTTTATAGTTCCTTCATCCCTAAGGTAAAGGTGTTGTAATAGCTGATCTCCTAAGGCCCAGAAAGGTTGTGACTTGCTGTAAATGACATAGCTAGATAGTGGTAAATTTGGCATTAGCATACAGGTGTTCAGACTTTATTTTTTAGTGTTCTTTCCTGTCCTCATGACGACTGCCCTGGAAATTGGAAGTTCTGTCTCATTTATTTACACTTAACTTTCTTTAGTTAGGTGGAGAGGATTTAAACTTAGTGTTTGAACTTGAACGTGAAGATCTTGAAACTTATCAAAGTAGATAGGGATAATCATTAGATATGGAAGCAGTGTTTGGGATGAAAAATAAAAGCTTTAGATTGTTATTAGATAAAGTGTTTTTTGTGCATTTCCACTTGCTACTTTGTATGTTAGTATTAGTGATTAGTGGACATTTGTTCATTTCCAAAACGACCATGGAGACATTTGACCCAACCAAAAGGTCCTTGAAATTTTGTCCTGTCCAAAATGTCCACGAAGACATTTGGTCCATGCCAGCCCATCTACCTAACCCCATGTGTCATGACCAGTGAGGTTATCCAGTTGAGAAAGATTATTCTTGACAATACAGTCATAACACAACTATTGGACCAGTAAACATGATAGTATTTTATTATTAATCCTGTAAACCAGGAGTATAAATAAACGTTATGGGCTTTTTGAACCTAGGGACATTTTCTAAGCCTGGGCATTGTTGTTGACAGGACCAAATGTTGAGTGCTGTTTGGCATGGATCAAAGATGCTCATGGATGTTTTGGACAGGATCAAATGGCCTGCAAGGGTATCTGTAACACTGTAGTAATAGAATAAAAGGTGTACATAACTGTCATTTTACTAGGTACTTGTAATTAAGACTTCGTTTTGAGGCTGATGGTGCTTCCTTTTATTGCTTCTGAGTAGGACCAGGTCAGATAATCTCTGTGAACCTCAGTTTTATTATTTGTAATAAAGATAATATTACCTATTTCAGTTATTTTGAAGATTAGTTGAGTAATGTGTATAAAATAATTTTATAAGCTACAAATTGCTGTTCAAATATTGATTCATTTGTTCCATAATAATAATAACTGAAGACATTTCTATTACTCATCTCTCCCTTCTCAACGTATCTTCACTGAAACCACCTCCACCATCACCACAGATGTTTTGCATTACTGTGGTTATGAATGGCTACTTTTCAGTGGATAAGCTTTAGACCCAGAATTCTGGATGAGTGTTAAATGTATTTAGTGTAATTTCTGTAAATTATTTTGATCCAAATCTTAAAATCTATGTTATAACATCAGGAGTTACCTTATATAGGGTGTATTTTTATTCAAAGACAAAGAAATACTTTGTTTAGCTTCATTTTCTTTGCTAGTTAATACCGTGTCACTTTACTTAATTTGGTTTCACATTCCAACTTAGGGAATCCTGGAAGAATAACCCTGCCACCAAACATGTTTTCTCATGGACTCTGCAACAGGTCACTCAACCCTGGCTGAACCAACACCTAGAAAAGATACTTCCGCCATCATTGCTCATCTCAGATGACTATCAAACTGAGAACAAAGTCCTGGGTGTTGACTGCCTCCATCACATTGTGCTTAATGTGGTAAGTAGTCTCTGTTCTGTCATCTGTGTTGGTGGGACAGACTGAGTAATGTTCCCCATTCATGATATTGCTATTTTATTGTTGCCTATGTTTATAGCCTTTATTAACCGGCTTTCTATAAATGCTGTTATGTGACTAAATTCACATATTTATATTTTTTCTCTTTATATTCATTCCATTTACCAACCTAGTAGAAGTTATATCTCATAGGTAATATGTATAAGAAACACAGGCTATTATTATGCACATGAAACATAGGCCACTGTCAAACTGAATAGCCAAACTTTGCTCCACTTTCAAGGAGCAAAAAAATCAAACTATGAGGGATTATACCAAATGTGGAAGCCATCACTCGAGGAAGTTTATTTCTTTCTTAACTGTGTGTCATGGAGCTTTTTAAAAATATATATATTTTAAATGAATTAATTTATTTTAGAGAGAGAGAGAGGAAGGGAGAGATAGAAACACAAATGTGAGATACATTGATGGGCTGCCTCCTGCATGCCCCCTACTGGGGATCGAGCCTGCAACCAGGGCTTATCTCCCAATTGGGAATCCAACTGAGACCTCTCAGTCCATGGGACAATGCTCAGTCCACTCAGCCACACTGACTGGGCTGGAGCTTTTAAAATATACACAGAAGTAGAGTGGTATAATGAATCCCATATACACATAATTCAGTTTTTAAAATTATCTACATTTTGCCAATCTTGGCTAACTTTTCTTTTAATTGGGTGATTTGTTTGATTGCAGCCAGCTGCTGATCTGCTCCAGTATAATAGGGCCCAGGTTGTGTACGATGCCCTTTTCAACCATCTGTATACACCAGAGCACCACCTCATTCAGGTAATTGTAAGATTCGTTGGTAACTGAGCCTGAGTTCTCAAATTTGAGTGGAAAGTGACATTATGTGAGTAATAATAGTTGAGAGGCATTTTCTTCTCTTGGAAAGTGAGGATGATAACTAAAAACATGGCCAAGCTGAAACTATGGAGGTAGCGATGACTAGTAAAAATATCTCAATACCAAGCCACCATCCCCATTCTTGAGTAGCCACAGAAATGCCAGCGTTTTGTCTTCATCTTGGGTCAATTACATATCATTTGTTTTAAGTGTCCTTCCTTCTGTGCTGCCTTATTATCAACACACACACTTGAAACCCCTTGTGTGTTGGATGTGTTAGTGTCATTTACTCTTTCATCCAATAGACATTGAGTTCACTGTGTGCCAGGAACCATTGTAGGTTCTAAGAGTGAATGAATCAGGATTTCTGGCCTTAAGAAACCCTTTGGGAGATATTTATGTAAATATGTGAATATTTATACATGTGTCTGCAGTACAGAGTGATAAATCTATTGAAAGAGGTTTGTTAAGTGCAGTGGGTGTTCAGCAATAGGCAGCTAACGAGGTTTGGTGGTGGTGGGGGTTTTAGGATTCCAGAGGAGGTGGTATTTGCTTATGAAGGATAAATAGGAGTTTCTAGGCAGGGACAGGACGCGGATGGCGGGAGGTGGGCGTGGGCGTGGGGGTGGGGAGGAAGTCTCAAGACAGAAGAAACAAGTTATATAAAATTAAAGGTAGAACAGCCATCTTTATTTTGTGACTGCCCACCCTTAACCCCTCACCTTGCCACCTTTCTTCTTTAAATATTATTTTAGGCATTGAGAATCCAGGTACTAACAGCTAGAAAGGTTAGGACTCTTGAAATGGTGTTTAAGAAGGAAAAAAACACTTCCAAAATACTACAAGAAAAAAACAAAGAGCCCAGGAGAGCTAGAGGGATCGCCTAGACCGTGAAACTTCAGATAGGGTGGTTCAGGTGAACACAAATAAGGACCATCTTAGATTCCATTTAGGGGCAAGTACATGTAAGTATCACTTAGACTTAGTAATACAGTGACAATAGACTCAGACTCCTAAAATTTAGGTTAAAATCCCAGCTCTGCCTTCCTGTTTTATAGCTTACCAAAGAACAGTCCTGAGGAAAAGGTGTTAATTTATTTGAGACCAAGATGGAAGTAAAAAGAAAAGATTAGAAAACAGGAAGTAATATATATTTAATGTATTATTACTCATAAATTTTTTAGAATTCTATGACAGTACATTAATCAAGTTGCTAGAAACCTCAGTGTTGTGACTGGGACTGGATGGCTGCAGTTCCTGCCCATGCCTTTCTTCTAGGCTGTGCTCCTGTGTCTGCTGAATTTATTTCCAGTCCTGGAGAAAGCCCTGCGCTGGAAGGGGGATACAGCTCGGCCCACCACACACTGCGACGAGGTGCTACAGCTGGTCCTGACCCACATGGAGCCAGAGCACCGCATCCTCCTGCGCAGAACCTACGCGAGAAACCTACCAGCTTTCGTGAAGAGGCGAGTGCCCGTCTGCTGGTCTGGCCACACTCCTTGGCTTCATCCCTTTGGTATCACATTTTCTCTTTTGTTTGTAGGTTGGGGATCCTAACTGTTCGGCACTTGAAGAGGCTGGAGCGAGTCATCCTTGGTTATCTGGAGGTTTACGATGGACCAGAGGAGGAGGCTAGATTGAAGATATTGGAAACCCTGAAACTTCTCATGCAGTATACTTGGCCCAGGTATAACAGCCAGCAGACCAGTGTGGTGAGGGGAAAAACGCAGGTTTTCTCTTCAGAACTTCATTGTACATGCAGTACAGAGTATTGAGAACACACCATATATTTGAATACCTCCAATTTTTATTTATGTTTTACTTTCTTTTTAGAGAGAGAGGGAGACGGATAGAGAGAAACATTGACAAGAGAGAACATCGATTGGCCGCCTCCTGCACGCCCTGCTCTGGGGATCAGGCCCACAACCCGGGTATGTGCCCTGACCGGGAATGGAACTGGCAACCTCTTGGTGCCAACGCTCAACCACCGAGCCATACCTCCGATTTTTACATACCTATTGGATTTTGAACTGCGAAAATGGCATTTAAAAGATAAAATACACCCATTGTTGCTTCAGGGGTACATCTTTAATGATGCACATTAAATATAAAAGCCCACGTAGAAGGGCTGCAATAAAGGCATGCCTAACTTTGTTCATCCTAATGTTTTTTATATCCATTTGAGACCAGAGCACTTCACTGCACATTGTTTAACAGTGATTGGGATAATACTCGTTTAGGATATGATTGCTTAGAAAGCGCTCCAACTCTGTCTTGAAGGTGTCAGGAACAGTAAACTGGTACCCAAATGTGTTAAGTCAACAAAAGGCCTTCTTCTCTTTGTTTTAATCCTCACACAAGGATATATTTTTATTGATTTTAGAGAGGATGTGGGGGCGGGGGGAAGAGAGAAACATTGATTAGCTGCCTCCTGTACAGGCCAGACTGGGGTTGAACTTGAAACCTGGGTGTGTGCCCTGCCCAGGAATCCCAAAACCTCTTGGTGTATGGGACAACCCTCCAACCAACTGGGCAACAAAAGGCTTTCTTGCATGAAATAACAAAGTTTAATTCATCTAGAGTCCAGTGCCTCAACTACATATCTATTCTGAACCATATTATCTGATTTCTTTATAATGTATCCAGGTGTTTCCTTAAGTCCCATTCGTAACCAGACTGTATTTGTTTACTCCTTTTTTCCCCTATTGAACAATGAGCTCCAGGATGGAAGACCACTTTGGAATACTGAGCATACCAAAGTTTACTTAGTACCTGGTATTAAGTACACAAATATTTGAAGAATGAGTGTACTAAAAGAAATGAGTAGATGGAGAAATGAAACTGAATCAGATTAATACTGTCAGGCCTTTAAAGAGCAGAGACCAAGATTCCAAAAGTAAGAGATTGGTGAGCAAATATAGGGATTAGAAAATGAATGTGAGCCCTGGCCGGTTTGGCTCAGCGGTTAGAGCGTCGGCCTGCGGTCCGGAGAGACCCGGGTTCAGTTCCCACTAAGGGCACGTACTTCGGTTGCAGTTTGTCCCCAGCCCTGGATGGTCGTGCGGTGGCAGCCACTCGATGTGTCCCTTTCACGTCGATGTTTCTCTCTCTCTGTCTCTTCCTCTCTCTCCCTCCCACTCTATCTGTACAAAAAATGGAAAAATGTCCTCGGGTGAGGATAAAAAAAAAAAAGAAAATGAATGTGAGCCCTGGTCGGTTTGGCTCAGCAGTTAGAACTACGGCCTGTGTTCCAGAGAGACCTGGGTTTGGTTCCTGCTAAGGGCAGTACCTCGGTTGCAAGTTGTCCCCAGCCCTGTTTGGTCGTGTGGGTGGCAACCACTCAATGTGTCCCTTTCACGTCGATGGTTCTCTCTCTCTCTCCCTCCCACTCTATATGAACAAAAAATTGGAAAATGTCCTCGAGTGAGGATAAAAAAAAGAATGTGAATATGTATTGGGTATTGTGAATGCATGAAGGAATGTATTGTGGAGGGGCGGGGCTTGGGAAACAGCAGAGTATACATTGATTGATGACAGGTGGAATGCTAAACAGTACAGATTACAGGAAACCATTTAATATTTTTTAGATCAAGGTAGGGGATACAAACTTTTCCCAGGCAGGTTGGAGTGTACGTGGGCAGTGTGCTGTAGAAAACAATGGGGCTTGCAGTTAAGAAATTTTGAGTCTCTCTGGTTCTGCTTCCATCGATGTGGCTTCAGTTCCTTCAGTTATGAAATGAGGGCTTTATACTAGCTGGTCCTTGAAGTTTCCAGTTTAACATCCTGATTTAGAGTATGAACATAGTTTTTCTCCTTGATTCCAGAGTTTCCTGTAGACTTGTGGTCTTATTGAAGGCTCTCTTGAAACTGATATGTGATGTAGCAAGGGATCCAAACCTTACACCTGAGCCTGTTAAGAGTGCCCTGTTAGAGGAAGCCACAGACTGCCTGCTTCTCCTGGACCACTGCTCTCAAGGACGAGTAAAGGTAAGGGACAGTCTGCAATGTGGTTTCAGTTAGGCCACTTTATCCTTGAGTAATTCCTATGATTTACTATTCACATGTCTGACCAAGTCTGTCAGTCAGTGTGGAGGGTTCAGGTCTCCACCTCTGGAGCTCTGTTGACTGACTTCAGTAGTTTGAGCAAAGGTCTTTAAAACTGCTCAGACCAAAAGGCAGGAGGATTAGAACATCTTTGGGGCTAGGATAGAGAATAGGCAAAAGGATCATGATCAAGAGTTTGTAAAATGTAAGTTCTGTTCCAGTCATTAAAAAAAAAACACAAAAAACAAAAAAAAAAACCAGGTGAAATAATGGGCTATATAAGCCACTAAGGAGTAATAATGTAGGTAGAGTAATTCATATCCCAGAAATGTTTCCAGTTTTTCAGGGGCAACTATGTTTTTCCATATTCTTACTTATTCACATGGGAATTTTTTCTTTGGTCTCACATTCTCCAAAAGATAAAGCCACAGCATATAATAGCTGTGTATGCATTTATATATATTTAATAAACTATTGCCTCATTTCTTACCCCCTTTTAGAAGTCTTCAATTAAAGAGGTATACAGCTGCGTGAAAAGAAATTCATATCCTAAAAATATTTAGAGATAGTATAGATTGTTGTTTTATTAGTTTATTCAGATTAAACTTCATTTTGGCTAAATATTTCAGGCAGTTTTCAAGTCCTAGATCCAATCTCATTCCTCTTGGCTGGCGTGAAGCTGCTTCTCCATGAGCCAGCAGCACGTTTCCAAGCACGCCAACAGTTCTTACAGTTACACCTGTTCTGTGAACTGGCCCTGAGTGCCATCCCTTTCCTTCTTTGAGTATGGTACCAATAAAGAAGAACCAAGGTAAAAGGAAAAGAAATAACAAAATCAAAGCCTGTTTGGTTTCACGTTTCAGGGTCTCCTGGCTAAAATTCCCCAAAGCTGCGAAGACAGCAAGGTGGTGAACTGTATCAGAAAAGTGCAACAGGTCTCTGAAGGCACCCCCTACAGTGGAACTTAAGATTTGTACTACTTTCTAAAAGAGAAGATGATTTTCTTTCTGTAGAAATGGAATTATTTAACGAAAAAGGTATTTTTATACTGGACATTATAATTTAGATCTTCTTTTTTCTTCTTTACTTTTACTCCCATAGAAGTAGGGAAAAGAACAAGGAAAAATTGAAGTCTAGACACTTCTGAATAAAGATGGGGGGAGGTGCACCCACTGTGAGTAGCATTTCAGATTTGAAACATTTATAACCACAAACTCATCTGTTAAGTTTCTTGGGCTCAAGCTGTCACCTCAACACATGCCAAAGCTATAAAAATACTCTGTTACAATTTTAAGGATTTCCTCCACTCCCTCCCAGACTTCTTGCTTCCCAGAAGTGGCATAAATATAAAACACAAATATTGTGTTAAATACAGCATAAAGAGTGAAAACTGGAGGTATGTATGTGATGAGGATAAAGTACAGAATGTTCAGTCCTGATATAAAAAGAGAAATCACGTAGTTTTGTCCTTGGCCACAGGCTCTGTCTCCTGCTCATACTCTATCTCCACATAGGCTCGTTTTCTCCGCAAAGGTCCTCTCAAGGGTGTCTTGCCTTTGTGTTTGGCATCAAGGGCCTTTTCTTCTTCCTCACTGGAGGATTTCTCGTCCTGATCTTCATCACTGCTGGCATCCAGTTTATCCATGTCCTACCATGGGGAGGGGAAAAAATAAGAGGAGAGATCCTAGGTTCATTCTCCACACTCCAGTGTCCTCTCAACTGAGAACTAGAGAATTCTCTGTGTTTGGAAACCCCCCTTTCTTTTACCCATAAATCTCACCTCAAAATCACTTATGTCACTCTCATCCACGTCAGCTTCCACAAACTCTCTTTTCCCCACGTCCTAAAATAAAGCAACTGTTAGGTTCAGAATGCATCATGAAAATTCAACACAGACATCTAGTTTTATTCTTTGATAAATAAATGCATAAATAATAACCAAAATCAGAATCTACTTGCTAGGCAACGAAAATCTACATATTTCCAAGTTTAATACTTCTGTAATCAGTATGTAAGATTTATAAACAGTTCTTTATACATTCAACTAAAATTATTAATTTCAAATAATCAAAAAATAGTTTACTATTAAGAAAAGTATGCCTCTCTACCTATGATAGTATACTGTGAGAATAAACATCTACTTGCTAAATCTGCCCTTTTCCTGACAACATATCACTTTAAGGACCTCTCCTATGTTAACAGTAAGATTAAATCCTTGTAAATTTCAGTAGGTTCCTTAATGGTATATTCTGTTGGCTGATATGGGTTCTTCATTTGTCATCTTGCAGGGAAAATGTTAGAATACCTATCAATAAGATTAAAATTGTCAATGCATACTTTGTTAGCCGAACCTGGAGAACAGCAGCCACTGCTGAACCAGAATTAACCTCATGCTAGAAAAATTAAGCTTTTGGTTAGGGGACTGAAAACCAAGAACTACCTCTCAATTACATTAAAAATAGATCTAGCCTTGGCCAGTTTGGCTCAGCAGTTAGAGCGTTGGCCCGCGGACCAGAGTACCGAGTTTGGTTCCTGCTAAGGGCACATACCTAGGTTTCAGTTTGTCCCCGGCCCCAGTTGGGGTTGTGTGGGTGGCAACCAGTCATTGTCTCTCTCTCGCATCGATGTTTCTCTCTCTTTTCCTCCCACTTTGTCTGGAGATAAATGCAAAAATGTCCTCAGGTGAGGATTTAAAAAAAAAAATGGATATAGTCCTATAGATTACTGCTTGACAGAGGAAAAATACAAACACTACTTACTTCCTCATCATCTTCCTCATCTTTTTCCTCAGCATCTGAAGAGTCGCTCTCTGCCTCCTGCTGTTCCAGGGCCTTGTCGAAGGCATGAATGGGGAAGTTGTAGATGTCGCCGTACTGAACAACACAAACAGACTGGCTGTAACCATACTTCGATCTTACACTCAAAGCCCACTGTCTGGCAAGCATATTATTTTTCTCAGTGAAATGAGAATACTTAATTTGACGAGTAATATTTCTATAATTGTTTTTGAGCCCAGAGCTGGCAGTGTCTTTAAAAAGCCTATTTTGACATTTAAATAATCAGTGGTTAACACCAAACTAGTAACTTCTGTGAAGGATGAAAGAAAATCACTTAAAACTTTAGTAGTCTATAAAACCCAAGGATTACAACAAATGTAAAATTTCGCTGGCAAAGAGGAAATAATAAAGAAAAAAAATTTTTTTATTCATGTTGTCTATATAAATGACATTAAATCCTAAGAAGAGAAAAAAAGTTCATTCTAAAGAACCTTAGAAGAGGAAAGGCAGGAGGATCGAGCTGTATGGCTATTGTAGGGCTCTGGAATCCCACGTCTGGGAGTAGGAGTTGGGGATAATGGCAAAGGGAAAGGCCTCACATACTGAATGGAGTGTCAAGAACAGTAGCATTTTAGGTGCTTGCAGCAGTGAGCTAATGAGGAAGCCAGGACCTACATGTTATTTATTCTAAGAATTAAATCAAGATGAACATCTTTCTAGCATCCTTAAAAATAAAACCCTTGTTCCACTAGTCCCACATTTCCTAGCATGATAGTACCACCTAAAAAATAAAATTTGTACCCCAGGCTCCGAGCTTTCTCACCGTATCTTGTTTAAGTCTCTCTAGCAATTCCTTTTCAATGGCATTGTCCAGCTGAGCAGCTATTAATGCCTTTTCCTGTAAGAGAAAAAGAGCAAACCCACTTCATCAGTACTCCTTTCCCTGTAGAGTAGTACCAAGTTCTTATAAGAAAGAAGATGTGATCACTTCTTGCTCTTATGGGGGCTTCTGCCTCTCCAACCAGATATATTTCTTTTTTACCTCTCGAACCTTCTTGGGAACATTTCAATTTAAAAAATTCCTAGAGTTTTTGTAAATAGCATTCTAAATTAAATTGTAACAAAGCCATTGATAGATACAAAGGCAGACAGGTCCACGTACATTTAAGCGTCTTAGAAAATTAGTAATCTTGAAGCAGATTCACAGAAAAGGGAACCCCACTCATTTACATTTGCTAAAACCATGTTAGATCCCATGTGATAGCAAAAAAGAAAAAATGCATCTTCCTTCAAAGATCTCTCATTGGAAATGATATGGCATCAACCTGTACCACCCACAACCAAACACAAATCTAACCTCAATCCACCTTTCTAACCTAATACAAACAATTAATTAGTGCAAATCATAGAGTATTTCAAAGTGTTACATACTGAAGCTATGTTAATAAGACGAACAGTGTGTCAGATACACCTCAATGCATAAGACTGCAGCACATGGGCCAGTTAAAAGTGTACTGTGATGTTCTACATTATTCTCTAAGGTGGGTACTTACATCTCTAGAGTGATCCACTGAGATGTAAGAACACATTCAAAACTAACATGTTACAAATATTTTGTATGCATCCGGAGACTGGTGCCTTGACTGTCCACAGAGCAAACAGCCGAGTGTCAGACACAGTGCACAAAATCCCAAGGGAGAAACACTGCAGTCTGAAAGAGGTGATCTCCTTTATTCAGATTATTACAACACTAGCTGTTTATGTTTACTTGGTTATGTGTATTTACAGATGACACCGAACTGTTTGCAGTAAGACAGGGAGTGGTTATAAAGGTATGCTGATTATTTAATGGTTTAGTATTTAAAGAGTCATAGAACTTAAAGAACCATGCATTTTTCACACACAAAAATGTTCCAAATTTGCCAACCTTTTCTAAAATGACAAATAGTCAGTAGTATGTAACACAGCAGGAGTTTTAAAAAGTAAATACACTGTCTCTTCTTTCAATCAAGGGAATATTTTACCAGGGAATTTAAAAGGAAAAGAAATTGTTCTGTAGATAGAACACCTTAAAAAACCTGTATGTAACATTGCTGAAAACATCTCCTACAAAAATTTGAATCACTTAAAAATTTTGGAGACAATTTTCCAACCCATTTAAAATTGTTTTCTATTTTCCAAGGATGTTTTTTGATGCCAGGAACAGGGAAACAAGAATGGGCCTAGGCAGAAGCAGCAACAGGAGAGAGAGCCTGGGCAGTGCTCTGCTTCGGCTCGCCGGAAACTGTCCAACCCACTTAAAAGTCTTCCACAGCCACATTTGCCAGAGGACTTCAAAATTGTCTGGTAAAAGCAGAAAATTTTAATTTCTTTTGAAAGGTTGTATGAACACCTGTTTAACAACTGGTGGTGCAGAATGAAAATAAAGAGCAAGCACTTAATGCAAATAATCCACAATGCCCTTCTATAAGTATCCCTGACGTGTCTATCAATTAGGAGAACCCTTAAAGACAAATTTATACTCAGCTAAGAACCAGGCCATCACAAAAAATTGTACCTATGACTGCAAGTATACATGTATAACATTTAAAAATAATATACTGGAGAGCATATGTTCAAAATTTTATTGATGGGCAAGTGATCAAAAAAGTTCAAAAACCAATGATAAAATAGATTTGAGATATGGAACTCTACACGATTAATGGAAACAAAAGCATCAAGATCATTTAAGTAATTTCTTGACAGAACATAAGAAATGATCAGGTAAATATCTACTGCAAGAAGGGAAGCAAGCAAAGCAAATGCCTAGAGTGAATCAATAGTTGAACTTGTCAGGAAAAGCTAATTTCTGGGTCTTGAAAAGCATAAGAAAATTCAGCTCGACTGAAGTACCAGTAAGGTGGGGAGGCAGACTGCTTTGCAACAAAGGCTGGAGTTTCCCGACCAGTCTGTCCATGGACAGCCGTCTATTAACATCGCTAGTCATTACTATGGTAACACAGCTGCCCAGTTCACTTAAAAGAAACAAATACTTCCAATCAGTTCCTTACTAACAATTCCAAAATAATAATTTAAAAAAAAACAAACTCAATTTAGTGGCCTAGTATGACCTGAAGTAACATGAGTCTAGTTAAAGAGATTTAAAAAATGCCTTCTAGTGTGAATGAACACTCTTATATTTCACTGCAAAACTGCAAGTGCATTTGATTAGAATGCTCAAACCCTGCTGAGGGTAACATGTAAGATCAGCAGCATCCCAAAATTCTGAATTCTGAAACATCTGACCTCCAGAATTTCAGACAAGGAGTTGTGGATTTCTATTTAAGGGATTCTATCTGTTCTCCATTACATATAGCCTCAAGCACCCACATTTTAACCTGTCCTAAAAGTCATAACCTTAAAATATGGAATATCATATCTTATGCAAGCATAACTGCTATCCATTAGTGAACCATACCCAGGGCCTGAACAGTTCACAATGGTGACTGAATCTCTCATGAGCTCTACCTACACAGCCCTACCCTCAACGAAAATATAGACACTATGAATGTCAGAACAGTAAGTTACCTCTCTTCTTTTTTCCCTCCGCTCCACTTTCTTACTCAAAGGAACAAGTTTCTTCCTATGGGAAATAACACATATTATCAGAAAACCCAAGTACGTGTGCTATGTGTTCCTTTAAAAAAAGAGAAAAACAAGGACTAGAATTCACTTTGTAGGGTTCAGCTCAATACAGCAAGATTATATACTTTAAATTGAATGCTATAAAAAAAATCAGACATTTTGCCCGGCTCGTGTGGCTCATTGGTTGAGTGTCGACCCATGCACCAAGAGGTTGCCGGTCTGATTCCAGGTCAGGGCACCAGGAGGCGGCCAATGTTCTCACTCATCGATGACTCTCTCTCTCCCCCTCTCCTTTCCTTTCTCTCTAAAATCAGTAAAGAAAAATTAAAGAAAAAAATGCAGATATTTTTATTACTATGTGGCTGTTTTTGTTTTCTTTAGGCATTCTGAGACTTCTGGGGACATTCACTATGCTAACAATGCTTCAGTGAACTAAGAAAGAGGAATTTTCTGTAGAAGACTGACATCTTCAGTATTCTCTGCAGGTCACAATTCAATTCATTATCACTTTTAACAAGTTTTCATTGAACTCAGAGTAAAGTTCTTATATTGTCCTGTTTACTCACATTTTTAAGGTAATTTTTAAATCCCTCATTGTAAAATTCTCTCGGGGAGTTATAAACAGAGTTCTGAAGCTGATTTCCAGACAGGGAGGGGATAGTCAAGTTCTACAAATCCTGCAAACTCAAAGGGCACGCCTTTAATCTGAGGTAAACTGTCTTCTTAGTATACCACAAAAGGCTGCCCAACATTGAATTTTATAGAAAGCGTTATTAGAGGCTTCACAATTTCTCAGCTTTATAATATGATCCATGACAAAATAGATTTAAAAATAAATAAACGATCTAAATACTTACTGTCGCTTGAGTGTAAGTTTTCGAATTCGAATTAGGTACTGGGTGATCTTGGTGAATCTCTGCTTACACTTGTGTCGAATGAAACGGGGCCAGTAAATTAGATTTTCATCTATTTGCTCCAGTGCTTTCTCATAGTTTTTATGAAGCCGGACCTATCAAACAGAAAAAGCTTGAAGGGCAGGGTCAATGACTAGGTCGTCACTGTTAACTTCAAAAGTTTGATCTAGATGTAGTCAAGGAAGAAAGAAAAATGTGGCCATTTTTGCTCTTGATCAATGGTTTTTGTAATTTTATGTTCCAAGCCTTACCCGTTCCCAGAGACGCCTAGGAAAAGCTGCTCGTTCTATCACCTTCATATACAAGTAGCACTGTCCTGCAGGATAAAATAAATACCTGTAATATTACTGAGAGGGGCTAAAGGACATCCTCTGCAAAGCTGCTGAGCAGTTCTCATGGAAGATGGAACTGGATGTTACCTTTTTCTTCCTTGATAGTGGCATACTGACTGTTTGCCAGGGGACAGGACGACCGGTTACACAGTCCAGTCAGGCTGTATTCGTTTCTGCAAAAGCTCTGTGTCTTGGTTCTAGAATGAGAGGAACGGCACGCACTATAAGATGGGTTACCAAGAAGGCCACTAAAGGAATCTTTATCCAAGCTGCAAATTTAGACCCACCTTATTTTGAAGGAACAAAATTGCTTGTTTCCTAGTGTATCCCAGATAACCTGCAAAACAAAGTATAAACCCATTTCAATTGCTCTGATCCAAAAGATGGCACATTAATTCAAGAAACAATGCCCTATGGCAGTGCCCTGCTTTACCTCTTGAGGAAAGGAGTCTTTAAGAAATGAGGAGGAAAAAAATGCTTTGTAAATAGTCTGACTTCTTTTCTTTACACAAACAAGTTTCTTATAGAAAAATGAATACAAATCAGCAATAACCATAACCCCATTATCCAGATATAAAATTTCATTAGTATTTATAAATATTTTCATGTTTTTCTATATGTGTGTACATTCCAAGGACTAGTATGTCTGTATGTATATTTTCAACAAAATGAGGTCATATATATTTTGTAAATTTCATTTTTTACTTAAAATGTTCATACCCACTGTAAAAAGCTACGCAGTACTAGACTTTTGGATACACGTACCATAATTTTATCTCACTGAGGGCAAGGAAAATCATCTGCTATCCTCCACTAAGGTGTTCTTTATTCATTCAGCAATTATATACTTAATTTATGTAAGGCACTGACATCCCTAAGTCCTGACACACAAGAGGCACTCAAGTATGCTGAATGAAAAAAGGTATAGTCCTTAAAGAGTGTTATCTTTCTAGTTATGGAGAACGATACATACACAAAGCAGTAGTTTAAGTACAAAAGTCGTGTGTAAGAGTATGAGCGCCACTGAGCGAACTGCCTTGAGAAACTGGGAAGGGCTTTAAAACAGTTAAAGGGAAAAACATAAATGGAAAACAGTGGAACAACATTTTTAGAATTTTACAGCATGTGTTTGATAGGGGATGGCAAGAAACAGGTCAGAGGAAATGAAACTGGAAAAGTAGGAGCTCAATTTGGCTGGTGGCTTTAAATATCATCTCTAAATTGATGACTCCTAAATTGTTATTTCCTGGTCAAAGTTCTCTCCTGAGCACCAGACTTGTATATACATCCAGCTGCCTACCTGACACCTCCACTTGGTAGTCTAAAAGGCATTATACACATTAACTTGTCCAGATGGAGCTCTCAATTCCACACCCCTCAAAAGAACAACACTGTGCTCCTTCCCTAGTCTTCCTCATCAACAGAAATAAAACCACCACTGAACTTTGCTCAAATCCCAAACCTCTTGATTTCTCACTTTTCTTTATCATTTCAGCCATCACCAAGTCTTGTCTATTAAACTGATAAAACATCTCGAATTTATCTATTTCTTTTCATATCCACCACAACTGCCGTAATGGAAGCTTCTTTCATTATACCCTAGTCTCCTTGCTTTCACTCGTTCCCTCCTTTAAAACGTTTCACACAATTAGAGAACTTCGCACAAATGTAAACCAGATGTCATTTCCTAATAAAACCCCTAAAAACATTTCCTACAAGACTCTACATGATCTTAGTGGCCTTGAATATATTCCTTCTCTCTTGCCTCCAGATCTTTGTACTTTACTTTCCCAAGTGCTTGGGCTGACTGCTTTCCCCTCAGCGGCGGTTCGTTCTCATGCTTCAGATCCCAGCTCCAATGTCTTGTATTCAGAGCAACCCTCCCAGACCAGGCCTATGTGAAGTGGTCTCCGGATTACTCTCCACTTCTGTTACACAGTGCAGTTGTATTTGTTCACTCTCTGTCTCGCCCACCAGAGTGCTCCAGGGAAGCAGAAGTCTTTAGTCTGGCTTATTAAGTACCAAATCTCTAGGAATTACCACAACGCCTGGCACACTGTAAGCACTCAAGTATTTCTCCTACAAATTACGAAACGAATGACTCTAGGATGCTTTCAAAATTATGACTTGGGCGGACAGTGGAACAAATGCAAAGAAAAACCTAAACACAGGAAAAGCAGCCGGAAAAGGTAACGTGCACGTGGATGAAACGGATCCTCAAACTGGATGTGTAACCTTCGCCGAATCGCCCACCCAGCCCCCACCCAGCCCCGGCCCCAGGGACCACGCCTAGTCCCTCACGTCCAGGCACCAAGGACTGGACCCGCCGACCCCCTGGACTGAGGTGCTGGCGTTCTGGCTCTTCAACCACGCGGGGGCAGCGGGCTGGAGGTCCAGGGTAGACACGTGAGCGCCCCACGCCCGGAAATCGGGGTTCTGGAAGCCTCGCTTCGGGAGCCACACGAGACAAGCGGGCCGGCTGAGTATGCGGCTCTGAGTCGCCTAAAGAGGGCGAGACACCCTGCCTAAACCCCGGGAGGAAGAGCAACAGGCGACTCACATCATCGGACTGCATGGTGTCGACAAGTCAGCGTGCGGACCCGGCCAGGTCCCGGAAGCGGCCATGCTTCTTCCGGCGAGTCACTTCCGGAATCCCTAGTCTCACCTAGCGCGAGAGCTCCGCTTTCTCAGACTCGCACGCCGCGCTGCGTGGCGGCCAGCTTGAGGGCGCCTGCGCGTCCCCGCTGCGTCCGACCGTCACTGCACGCTCACGAGCGTGGGTCTCGTCCCGGCTCACCGAGCGACGCACGCGCGGCTGAGGGCCTGGTGCCGCCCGCGCAGAAGTCACCCGAGTCCCGGAGAGCGGAGGCCGAGCGCGGCCGACGTGCGCTTGTCCAATGCGCAGTTTTGTGACAGCCCAGCTCGCCAGGCCCCTGTCCTAGTGCCCACGTCAGGCAGCGTTGTTGTACTCCTTCGCCCAATGTGTGCATCTCGAGCTCGGTCCTTTTTACCAGGAGACCCTCGCTCCCACCCATACTCCTCCAGCACTTACCCCTTCTCCCGCACGTAACCTCCCCCTGACCCCTCCCGCACGTAACCTCCCCCTGACCTCTCCTGCACTTACCCTCCCCCCTTACCCTGAAGGCACTCTTGGTGGGCATTGGGCTCTGACTTTTGAAACTGATGTATCAGGTAATACTTCAAAAATTTTTGAAGGTCTAGGAACTTTTTCAGCTTTTTATTTTAACAAGGAGGAAAAATAACCTTTACTAGCCCAGTTGTTTTTCAAAAGAAAGACCATTTTAATACCAAAAGAGTATGAAAGGCACAATCTCAGAATAAGAATGAGCCCTTACTTTGCATATCACATAAAATAATTACGTGTATCATAAAGAATATAACTTTGCTGCATGCAGGTGAAACTGAATTAGAACCACCCCGTTGGAAAGCATTGTTTTAGCACTGGTTTTTAGAGCCAAACTTAGGTTATAAAAACCAACTGGCATTTATTAAATACCTTTGGGCAAGTCAGTTAGCCTTTATGAAACTTTGTCATTTGAATAATGGGGGTATGTGAGGACTAGAGGTTTGTTAATGGTATACTTTACATTGATTCATAGAAAATCGTGATTGTTTTCACTAGCCTAGGGCCCTAGACAAGGCTGCTTTTGAAACCTAGAGTACACAATCCCTTCTACTTTAGTAAAATCAATTTAAAACAATGTGGAGGAAATCGAAAGCTGGATAGTACTAGCCACCTGCACCAACCACACTCCCTGAATTGTTTCAAGGAAAGAAAGTAGTGTATTTTTTCAGTTTGATTTGGGATAATACTCCTTCCCTACTCACCACCAACAGGTGAGTCCTGTGAATAATCTTTTTTTTTTTTTAAATTGAGGTATAAGTTGACATACAACTTTATATTAGCTTCAGTTATACACCATGATTCGATTTTTGCATATATTGTAAAATGTTCACCACAATAAGTCTAGCTAACATCCATCACCATAGTTATTCATAATTTTTTTCTTGTGAGAACGTTTAACGTATACTCTTAGCAACTTTGAAATATACAATACAGTATTAACTATATTCACCATCTGTACTTTATATTCCCATGATTTATTGATTCTATAACTGGAAATTTGTACCTTTTGACTCCACCCATTTTGTGCTTGCCCCCCCAACCCCCAATCAACAATTTGTTCTTTATATCTTTTTTTTCCCCTTAATCCTCACCTGAGGATATTTTCCCATTGATTTTTAGATCGAGTTGGAGGGAGGGAGAGAAACATAAGTGTGAGAAAGACACAGATTGGTTGCCTCCTGCACAACCCTGACTGGGACCCAGGATCAGACTTGCAACCCAGGTACATGCTCTTGACCAGGGATCTAACCCAAGACCCTTCATTCTGAGGGCCAGTACTCTAACTACTGAGCCAAAGCAGGCCAGGCTGTTTTCTATATCTTGAGCTTATTGTTCTGCTGTTGTTTGTTTGATTTTTAGATTCCACATATAAGTGAGATAACGTGGTATTTCTCTTTTCATGCATGACTTATTTCACTTAGCATAATGCCCTCAAGGTCCAACCATGTCACAAATAGCAAGATTTCATTATTTTTTTATGTTTGAGTAATGTTCCATTTGCTTCATCTATCCATTCAAAGAAGCTTGGAGACCCAGTAGCATTTGTGCAATCAGAACAGTTTCAGTCCTTTCTGGTCTAAGTTGGGAAGACTTTCACAAGTGTACAACTTAAAAACCTTTGTGATATTTCTATATGGAATCTAAGTTCACTCCATTAGACAAAAGCCATACACATGCTTTTTGTGGGTTTTTTTTTTTTCCCAGAGAAACTTCTCTTTGACCATAATCATGGCTCCTTTGGGTATGTCCTGCTACTATGGAAAGACATCTTTATGATTCCTGCTGGTTCTTTCATTTGGCTGAAAAGATTTTCTAGGTACCATCGTAATGTCTTAAAGATCTTCCAACGTTGCTTTGAGGATCTTTTACTGGTTGGGGAGGCTGGAGATGAGAACCAATTTTATTTTCCAATCTGCTAAATTTCGATTTCTCTATGTTCCCCCTAATTTCTGCCTATAAAGTGTTCTTTATTTTTTTTCCCCTTTAACTGATTTCTTTCTGGCAGTACCTTATAATAGCATTCTGCCTGAAATTATTTTATCCAAATATACAAGTTCATTAGTTATGTTTTATATCTTCCAATTTACGATTGGTGATACATTTACGAAATAATTTGCTAGTATGCAAAATGTGTCATCATTTTTCTAGTTTGCTATTGTAGCTTTCCTATTGCCTTTCCAGTCTTTGCCCACCACCTGGTCCCAAGGCCAATGCCACATATTCTAGATTTTTTTTACAGTAGTAGTCCAGTTCCAGATGTTAATTTCTATATCAGCTGTGTAACACACCTCGTGAAACCCAGTGGCTTAAAAAAATAAACATTTATTGTTCATGTTTCTACATAGTAAGTGCTCTAATTATACACATGGATTACAGAGGTCCTAATTCTCCATGTGACTCTGCATCTACTCCCTTTGCAATGTGACTTTGAAGCTCCCCATCAAGAAGTGGAATTTTTTTCTCTACCTCTGAATCCAGGCTGGCTTTGTGACTCGCTTTGGCCACAGAGTGTGGCTGAAGTGACAGGGTGTGAGTCCTTAGCCCAAGCCTTAAGAGGCCTTGTATGTTTCCACAACTTTTATTGGAATCCTGCCCAGCTACCAACTGAACAATCCCATAATGGACAATGAGGGATAATGACTTGGTCACTCCTATTGCTCCAGCCAATAGCCACTCAACTGTAAAATATGTGAATGAGGCCATCCTAGACAAGTGAGACACAAGCCAACTCACCAGGTGACTGCAGACAGGTGAGCAAGCCCACGTCAGATCAGCCAAGTCTGGGTGGGTCAGCAGTACTCCCTATCTGACTTGTAGAGATATTTGGAGAAAAAATAAATTAAATTTTAGATTTTATTTCGCAGAGGTCAGGCCTTGGTTTATTTTGGCAGTAAGAGGTAGAGAACAAGAAGTAAAAAGCAGGAGTTGGGTGCCAACACCAAGTATCAGTCGAGGAGATAGAGCTCAAATGTGGAATCACTGGGCATTCTAAAAGAGTCTTAAAACTGAGACAAAGTATTGAAAGCGCTTTATACAAGTGTCATCTGCAAATTTTATCAGTTCCATCAAAAGCAAACAGGAATTTCAGTTCCTATTCCAGCTGTTTGATTTCATGACTCACATCTCCACCCAACGAGGTTAACACATTTCTGTAAACATAATGCGATATATTAAGTCAGAGAGAAACAAGTGAAATGCATTGATGAGAAGATCACTACCTCATCTTAGGAAATTTCTCCTGTCTCGTTTACTCTGGCAAGTAGAGTAGTTTTATTTAAATTACCTATAATAACACTTAATGGTAGACTGGTAAGTAATACTACCATACCACCTCATAAAAAATAATGAAATCTTAGCAACACTGTGGCATTTATTAATCCAATTAATATGTGCTTGGAAAAAAATTTTTGACAGCATCAATGATTTGAGAAAGAATTAATGAGTTATAAAAATAAAAAATGGGATATTAAGAAAATGCTGAAGAATTGGACTCTTAACCTAAGCTCGTATGAAAGAATTTTAGGTGTAGGTGATTTCTTGACTATTCCATGCTGACCATGTTTTTATTAGTGTTTATTATATAGAAATACCTTAGCAGTCAGTCATGGAAAAACAAAATTAAAATTCATGCTAATTCTGAGTTTATGTGAAGTCCATGAAATTATAACTAGCAAATAAATCAATAAGGCAAGTGCCTTAAATATTTCTGAGTTTTATACAAATCAAATGTATAAGCAATAAAAAAAGATTTACTAAAAGCAGAAAAAATAGTGTCAGGGAAACTATTATTCTTATCCTCATATTATGTAATTCAGCCAAATATATGTCCATACATAGAGCAGGCCCCTCTAAGAGAAATCCAGAAACTGTCAAAATGTCTTCCAAAGTGTTGTGCATTTTGCATTCCCACCAGCAATGAATGAGGGCCTCTGTCATTGCACAGACTCATCAGCATTTGGTGTTGTCCTGCTATGGATTTTAACCATTCTAAGAGTGTGGTGGCATCTCAGGGTTTTAATTTGTATCTTTTCATGTGCTTATTTGCCATCTGTATTTCTTCTTTGGTGAAGTGTCTGTTCAGGTCTTCTGTTCATTTAAAAACATTGGGTTTTTTGCTTTCTTACTGTTGAGTTTTAAGAGTTCTTTGTATATTTTGGGTAATAGGCCTTTATCACATATGTCTTTTGCAAGTGTTTTGTCCCAGTTTGTGGCTTGTAGTTTCATTCTCTTGACCTTTATTATTATTTTAATGTCCATGGGATCAGTAGTGATGGCCCCTCTTTTATTTATGACATTAGTAATTTGTGTCTTCTCACTTTTTTTTTTTTTTTTTTTCCTCACCCGAGGACATTTTTCGATATTTTGTTCAGATAGAGTGAGTGGGGGAGAGAGAGAGAGAAACATCGACGTGAAAGCGACACATCGAGTGGTTGCCACCCACACGACCCAACCAGGGCCGGGGACAAACTGCAACCAAGGTACGTGCCCTTAGCGGGAACCGAACCCGGGTCTCTCCGGACCACAGGCCGACGCTCTAACCGCTGAGCCAAACCGGCCAGGGCTGTCTTCTCACTTTTTCATTGGTTAGCCTAACTAAGGAATTATCAATTTTATTGATTTTTTCCCCAAAGAAACAGCTTTTGGTTTCATGAATTTAAAAAAATTTCCTGCTTTCAATTTTATTGATTTCTGCTCTAATTTTTATTATTTCATCTTTTCTGCTTGCTTTGGATTTAATTTGGTCCTCTTTCTCTAGTTTCCCACAATGGAAGCTTATATTATTGATTTTAGATCCATCTTCTTTTCTAATATTCAATGCTATAATTTTACTTCTAAGCACTGCTTTTATGGCATCCCACAAATCTTGATAGGTTGTATTTTTATTTTTATTTAGCTCAAAATATTTTTATTTTGGGAATTCTTCTCCCACCCATGTGTTATTTAGAGGTGTGTTGCTTAATCTCCAAATATTTTGGAACATTCTAAAATATTCTCAAATAATTTGGGGTATTTCTGTTATTAATTTAATGAATTGATTTGGTTAGTTTAATCCCATTGTGGTCTGACAGCATATTTTGTATGATGTCTTTTGATTTAAATTTGTTGAGATGTGTATCATGGTCCACCATACCTGTCTTTTGATGTACATATGCAGTATGTTTATTAGGCATATACCTAGGAGTGGGATTTGTGTGTCAATAAATATGCATATATTTAGCTCTATTAGATACGAATACACAGCTTTCCAAAGTGGCTGTAACAATTACACTCCCACCAACAGTGCATGAGTTCCATGTGCTCCGTGGCTTTAACTTTGCTTTGTCCTGTCAGTTTTAAAATCTGTAGCCATTTTGATGGGTGCTTAGTAGATCATTGTCCTGTTAATTTGCATTTCCGTGGTATCTAAAGAAGTTAAGCATCTTTTCACTTACATATTGTCTCTTCAGATATTTTCTTGGTGAAGGGCTGTATAAGTCTATGGCCCCTTCCCTCCAACTTTAAAAAAATATATATTTTTATTGATTATGTAGAGAGAAAGGAAGGGAGGGAGAGAGAGAGAGAAACATTGATGTGAGAGAGAAATAACCATCAGCTACCTCCTGCACGCCCCTCACTGGGGATGGAGCCCGCAACCTGGGCATGTGCTCTGACCAGGAATTGAACTGGGACCTCTCAGTCCATGGGACAACGCCCAGTCCACTGAGCCACAGCAGCTGGGCTCCCTCCCACTTTTTATTGCATTCTTTCTTTATTCCATTGTAGGACTTCTTGATGTATTGTGGATATGGATTCTGTTAGATATATTTATTGCAGATACCTTCTACTTGGTGGATTGTTTTTTCTCTTTTTTTAAAAAAAAAAGTTTTATTGATTTTTTAGAGAGAGTGTAAGGGAGAGAGAGAGAGAAACACCAGTCAGCTGCCTCCTCCACGCCCACTACTGGTAATCAAGCCCAGAACCCATAAATGTGCCCTGACTGGGAATTGAACCAGTGACCTCTTGGTCCATGGGTCAATGCTTAACCACTGAACCACACTGGGTGGGCTGTTTTTTATTCTCTTATGAACAGAATTTACTTTTAATGATATCTGATTTATCAATGTTTTCATTTGTATTTGGGATTTTCTAGAAGTTGATACAATTTTTATCAACCCATTTTTATTTTATTATTTTTTTTATCCTCACCCGAGGACACTTTTTCGTTTTTTGTTCAGATAGAGTGGGAGGGAGAGAGAGAGAGAGAAACATCGACGTGAAAGGGACACATGGAGTGGTTGCCACCCACACAACCCAATCAGGGCTGGGGACAAACCACAACCAGGGTACATGCCCTTAGCGGGAACCGAACCTGGGTCTCTCTGGACCGCAGGTCAACACTCTAACCGCTGAGCCCAACCAGCCAGGGCTATCAACCCATTTTTAGAGAGGGTAGTTGAGGTACCTGGCACTGGAGCTCTGCAGGACCAGGGCTGGAGTGAGACAGGCCGAGGGCAGCCTCATTCTCAGGTTCCTGCAGGTGTGCCCAGCACCTGCTTGACTCTGGGAGTCAGTGCCTCCTCCAACTTGGAGCCCTAGGTCCTCACTTGCCCTGAGTCAAGTCCCAGCCCTCCCAAGGTCTTGAATTACTTCCCTAGCTTTATCACCTCCTGTCTAGACTAGGGCGAAATAATCTTAACTGGGTTATCTGGATTTGGAACTCAGAAGCTTAAAGTCAGTTAGTTTCATTTCACCAGTAAAAGAAAATCTAAATATTATCCTGCTCAATCTATCAAACACTGGTACCTGACTGTGGGTACTCACTGTTTTGCTTAAGGTTCTCAATTTTCCTCAACAGGTTATTTTGAATGTGCTTCAGCCTTAGTCAAGTTTGAGAGGCAGAAAGTGCCCCGTGACTAGTTTTACAAGAGGGTCTCAAGAGCCTTCTAGGAACTTGCCAGAGGGTTGTGCTGAATGGCTGGCCTGTGATTCCCGGGAATCCAGGTCCCACTTGCTTTTAAAGAGGAGGCATCAGAGAAAACCTGGGTCCCGGATTGCTGGGCCTGGACGTGCTGCGAGTTATCCCTCCTTTCCCAGATCTCCTTCCGAGTCTTCGCCTGAGCTGCGGGCGCAAACTGAAAGTGAACAACCGGGGTGCTGTGGGCACGGCAGCCTCCTTCACTGTGAAGAGGTGAGTGTATGTGAATCTCTGGTCGTGCTCGGGTGAGGGCTTGGTGGGGGCAGCGCCTTGGTGCCGAGAAACATACACTTTCCTGGTGCCCCCCCCCAAAGCTGGGATGCTGCCCGCGGTACTCACCGCAGAAGGAAGCCTCTTTGTGCCCAGAGGGAGTGTGTGTAAGAGAAAGACGGAGTTGTGTGCTGTTTTTGGAAACCTTGGGCAGTGCTTTCCAGAGTCACTGCCTGAGATTTAAACCTATCTGGCTGCTAAAACAGCCCGGGTGGGAGACAGATGACGCGCAGGAGTGCCCGCTGGAGCCCTGGGAGGCGCGCGGTCCGACTCCTGGGCGTGAAGGTTTTCTCCTATCTGCTATCTGCCACGATCTTCCCAGCCCCACCAGTTCGAGAACCTAACTCTGCCATTGTGTATGTGAATTGCTTCCCCGCGTCTCACTGAGAATCACTTGTTGCTGGAGTTGTGTGCTGGAGTAGCGATTGTAACTGCCCAGCTGCACAGAGTATTGTGCGTTTATTTAATGGAGAAAGTGCCCGGGAGAGCCCCCAGAACAGCAGGCTTTGGATCTACACGCAAGCCATTTCCTGGGTATTTTTGTATGCAGTTAGTGCCCTCGGAATAGACCTCATTTTGTGTAAGAGAGAAATAACGCTGGTGCAATTTTAAGATATTTTCTGGAGATCTTTTAATGACTCTTTAATATATACAAAATAACTTTTTCTAAGCTCCAACAGGCTACTCCCCACTGCATCAGTTCCCTGAAATAGTTGGGTAGAATGGTATATACATTGTGACTTGGACTGTTAATTTCATTTGTGGAATGCATTAAAAACACTCGGGCTGGGCACAGTTTTGAATATTGCACATTAGTCTTTGGGACCTCATTCCCTTTATACATCCTTCCTTCTCTCTGGATGAGACACTCCGGAAGCTTATGACCAATCTTGGGCTTGCTAGTGACGTCACACTACAGCTAGGGCATTGTTTCTCCATAGTCCACCAGGGTCTCTCAGATGGAGGGTTTCCGTGGGGCCTGGCCACCTGCAGTGAATAGCAGCCCAGGCAGGTATTTGCACAAAGAGTGGCAGTCACCGATCTAGTCCGCACCCTAACCTCAGTTTTAGAACTTTTCCCTCTGCCTGCAAGCCAGAGGTCACGTTTTAGTATCAGAGGATCCTTCAGGTCTGGTCCATTTTTGAAATAGCTGTTGTAGTAACTCTTCAGTTGCTGGCTTCCTGCTAGATGGCAGTGTCTAACAGAGAATTAAATACAATGTCTCAACTGTTAGCATTTTTATGACTCATCTTTTATTCTTCAATTTAAAAAGATTTTAAGTTTTCAAGTTTTATCTTACAAACAGCACATTTTTGAGAAAAAAAATCAAACTATGGTTAAATCTAGAAAATAAACAATTTGGATAAAATATAATGTTATTGATACATGTGTACGTATTGTTCATTATGCAGATATTTTCAACACATTTAAATGCTTTGTAAATTAGAAATGTAAAGAGTTGATTTCAGTAAGAAATGCAATACCTAATTCAATTACCAGCATTCTACAATAAACATTTGTTATAGTTTCTGAACATGAATTTTTAAAAATTAAAAAGAAACTTTTCATTAACAATGTTTTTCAGATATTTATTTCTTTGAGAATAAAATTTGAGTTTTCAAAAGTTAATGTTGAATTACTAAAAAGGCGAATGAAGATCAAGTAATCCTAAATTTGTTATATAGAAATATTTCTTGTTTTATATTTCCAGAAATCTTAGTTTATGTTGACAAAAGTTATCTTGATTAGTGTCTCTTCACTTGATCAATCTTTCTTCTTTGGAGAATTTTGCTCCTGGACACCATTTATGGGATCAGAGAGCTTAACTTCGAATGAAACCTGAGAAGATTATCCAGTCCAGCCCTTTGTCTGTAGGCCTGTGAAGTATTATCTGTGTTTTGTCAGCGTTATTTAACCAGCTCCTCATTCATGGTTACTTAAATGCTCAAAGCAGATGAGAGATTTTAATTCAGATCTGCCAAGTAGGAAAATTGTTACAGGCTAACCATAAGCCCTTATCAGAGAAGGAACAGCAACTAAGAAGACCTTACAAGGAAAAAGATGAGAAAGACTCCTGTTCTTGAGGAGTTGGCTCAGTTCTTCCTGTGACACAGAATCTTCAGTCTGTGCCCCTACCTCATTTAAAAAACCTAATCCTTTTGAACACTTCCCTTTGGGGCTTTGTATCAGTCTCTTTTTTTGTATGGGTATAATATATTTTTATTCAGCTTCTATATTAAATAGATCCACTAAGTGAGATGGTATTAGTACTGCATAATTTGAGAGCTGCACTATGTGTCTAGAATTTAAGAAGGGCGTCACCTTCAGCTCCACAATAGAAATGTGAAGGTGTTTGGGCTACAACTTCTGTCCCCCCATTAATCACTTGTCTTGATTCACATGGCTGCCAGTATCCCCTTCTCTCTCATTATTCTCTGATTGTCTTGCCTGAAATGCATGCTTGGCTGAAGAGAATGACCTTCCCAGATGGAAATCAGCAACCCAGCACACTCTAAAAAAATGTTTTTTTCTTCATTAATTTGAGAGAGAGAGAGGAAGGGAGAGGGAGAGAGAGAGAGAAGCATCAATGAGAGAGAACATCGATTGGCCACATCCTGCATGCCCCCCACTGGGGATTTGGCCCACAACCTGGGCATATGCCCTGACCTGGAATTGAACTGGTGACCTCTTGGTGCATGGGTTGATGCCCAACCACTGAGCCTTGCCGGCCGGGCCCAATGCACTCTTTACATAAAAATAAATGCTCAAAAAAATATGAAGTCCGTTAAAAAAAGAGTGAGGAACATATGAACACAAATAATAAAGAAAATTGGGTAAAAATGGAAACTGTAGACCATCATCACACATTTGTCAGGTGTCCAAGGAACAGTTGCAACACCAAAGAAGTCTGCAAATTAACAAAATAGGTCAACTCTTTAATGTTTAAGAATTATTTTATAAGCGCCCAGTAAAGCAGCTTTAGAAAGTGTCCTAATACCCCCCCCCCCCCCCCCCCCGCCGGCTTCCTGCATCTGTCCACTGCTGTAATAGGAACATGCACACAATGATATGAATCCAGACCTCCGGACTTGGCACTGGGAGGAGTAGGGCTTCTCCAGATGGGCAGCCTTGAAAGTCTTGGAGAATGACTAGGACAGTGAAAGGTATGGGTGTTGTAGGTAGGCACTAGAGCACAGAACAGGGAGCTACTTTCTGAGAATAGCAGGAACAAAGGGCATGTGTGGTGGAGAAAGAGGGAAGGAAGCTAGAGAAGGGGGGTGGAATCCAGGTAGCATTGTTTTCTTTTTCTTGTTTTTCAAGCTATAAGAGAAAGTTTTTTTTAGAAAATGACAGAGGCAAAAGAAGGGGCCCTTGGAGCTTAGGAGAGAGAAAGGTAAAGGTTATGTGCCTGGGGAAGAAGAGGGGGAGGGGAAGGCCCGGGCCTGCTGGTGCTGGCAGGTGGGAGGCTTGCCAGTGTTCGTTTCTGAGCTAATGAGATTTATCTGGATCTTGAAACCTTTGGGAAGCTATGGGAGGATATTAATCAGAGGAGAGAGAGCCAATCTACATTCCAGAAGCAACTCTACAGCTCTGGAGAGTGCAAGGTCAGATGGTGAGAACATAGTTATCAGGCTTTTGGAGTAACCAAGTAGGAACAGATGAGGGGTGTTGATGAGGACACACAGAGTTGAAGGGCAGTAGTTAAAAAGTGCCTGGAGAGATGTCCAAAGACCCTTAGACCCCTCCGTCAAGCCTAGCACATCATTTGTGTTTCCCAGACAGCCACCATTTGAGGGGTGTTCGAGGATATATACATTATAAAATGGAAACATATTTTGGGAGAGTCAAACCTACTTAAGAAATTATACTTCAGCCCTGGCCGGTTTGGTTCAGCGGTTAGAGCGACAGCCTGCGGTCCAGAGAGACTGGGGTTCGATTCCCGCAGAGGTTGCAGTTTGTCCCCGGCCCTGGTTGGGTCGTGTGGGTGGCAGCCGCTAGATGTGTACCTTTCACGTCGATGTTTCTCTCCCTCTCTCTCTTCCTCTCTCCCTCCCACTCTAGCTGAACAGAAAATGGGAAAATGTCCTCAGGTGAGGATAAAAAAAAAAAAAAAAAAAAGAAGAAAACAAATAATAATAAATTACACTTCAGTGTGAATGATTTAAGTTTAGTAGTTAGATACATTTCTTCTAAAGACTCCCTGGTAAGCCTTATGCTGAGTTAAGATAGTTGTTTATTTTCCCAACTGAGTCAGCAGTTACTAGAGGAGAGAGGTCACAGGAGTCTTCTCAGAGCTCTGTGCCTCCTGCCCCACCTTTTCCCCTGCCAGACACACAAACTGTTGGGCTGGGAAAACCCTTTGCGTCACCGAGGGTTGGTTTCTCATTTTACACCCAGAGGTACAGGACAGACAACATCTCTTGGTCCCATTCTGAGACCCTTGAAAGAACGACACCCCGGACGGGCCCTGCATGGCTGAAATTTGAAGCTGGCATCCTCAGGCTGCTTATTTGCTTTAAGGTATTCTGGTCTCTCTTCTGTGCATTTAATTCAAAATAAAGTGGAGAAATGTGAAATTACTTTAGGGTGAAAGTGTTGCTGGTTTGGACGGAATAGCATTTGGAGGCTATGAGGTAGTCACGCTCAGCTCCAGATCCCTCTCTGGGCAGCAGATGGCCAGCCCCACGCAGTGCTCACCAGCTGCACAGTGCTTGCTCGGAGCTCGGCCCCAGGGTCAAGAGGGCTTGTTAGTGAGAATCCATTTCCCATGTTGTCTACCATGGTTATCCGAACAAATGCACATTGCTCCATCCCGGAAAGGATTTTCTGGGGCGCCCTCGTGGAGGACTCTGAGATTCACCTTGCGTGCGGTGATGACACAAGGGAGCTCTCCTCATGGAGTCCTGTTGCATCGGACTTGCTGGCCATCACAGTGCCTCTGCAGGTCCATCTGTCCCACCAACTTGCGGACTGCTGACTTGATGACAAGCTCCTGAGTAATTAATACCATATATTAGATTGATATGCCCCAAGGCCTGGTTCATGGATGCATGCTGTCAATTGTAACACTGTCTACACTAGCTGGCTCTATTCCTTAGAAGTGGGCATTTGGCCACAGTTTGGTCCCTGAGACCCCACTGTACCTGTGGCTTTGGGTATAAAAGCTCAATTGAGATTCTTTGGATGGAAGGAGATTTGTAACCCTAAATTCTTCTGTCGTAGTTCTTATAGATGTGTAAAGACTTTATTTATTTATTTTATTTTATTTTTTTATCCTCACCCAAGGACACCTTTCCATTTTTTGTTCAGGTAGAGTGGGAGGGAGAGAGAAAGGGAGAGAGAGAGAGAAACATCGACGAGTGGCTGCCACCCACACGACCAACCAGGACCAGGGACAAACTGCAACGGAGGTACGTGCCCTTAGCAGGAACTGAACCTGGATCTCTCTGGACCGCAGGCCGACGCTCTAACCGCTGAACCAAACTGGCCAGGGCGACGTGTAAAGACTTTAAAAGCCCCAAGGATAGGCCTGAGCTATACAGTAGCTGTAAAAATAACCCCAGCTATGTCCTCTCATTTTCTTTCCATCTTTGGTTTTTTCCTATTCCTGACTCCTTTGTACTCTTAACAAGCTGCCACTGTTTTTCCTGTCTCTTTCTTCCACTGATCTCGCAGTCAGGTGACCTGATTTTAGACCCACTCCAGCCTTTAAAAACTGTGATCTGGGACAAATCACTTAAACTCACCCAGGTTTGGTGTCCTTATTTGTGGGAACTGAGCATAATACCTACCTTGCCTACTTTACAAATGGCTATCAGTAAGGTTGAGGGGAGTGATATATCTAAAAATCTTTTTACAATAGCTAAGATCTGAAAACAACCCAAGTGTCTATCAGTAGAAGAGCGGATAAAAAAGCTGTGGTAGTCCTGGCCAGTTTGGCTCAGCGGTTAGAGCGTCGGTCTGTGGACCAGAGAGTCCCGGGTTCCGTTCCCGCTAAGGTCATGTATCTCGGTTGCAGTTTGTCCCTGGCCCTGGTTGGGGTCGTGTGGGTGGCAACCACTCGGTGTGTCTCTCTCACATTGATGTTTCTCCCCCACCCTCACTCTGTCTGAAGATACTGAAGATAAATGCAAAAATGTCCTTGGGTGAGGATAAAAAAAAAAAAAGCTGTGGTACATGTACACAATGAAATACTAATGCAGCTGTAAGAAAGAGAGATCTCTTATCCTTTGAGACGACATGGAGGGACCTGGACAGTATTATGTTAAGCGAAATAAGCCAGTCAGAGAAAGATAAATATCACATGATCTCGCTTATTTGTGGAATATAATGAACTAAACAAACTGATGAACAAAATTGACCCAGAGACATAGAGGTAGGGTACAGCCTGACAAACCTCAGAAGAGGGGATGTTGAGGGCCAGGGAGAGATAAACCACAGAACTTATATGCATGTACGTATAACCATGGACATAGACAACAATGCTGGGGATGGGGAGGAGGATGTCAATGGGGGAAAAAGGAGAAACATCTGTAACAAAACAAATTAATAAAAATAATTTTAAAAATTAAAATCTTTTAAAATGATATAGTTTTGTACCCATTTCAGTTGGTAATATTTCATCAGCTGATCTCAGTTACATTAATTGTATCTATAATAGATTGCCTTTGCATATAAAATGATAATTTGATCTTTCTGTTAGGTGAGGGAAATGATAGTTAATGTGTATTGTTTACTATGAAAAACGGAGGTTTAGAAAGATTTAGGAACTTGTCCAAATCTATGTTATGTAAAATGACAGAGCCAGGATTGAACCCAAAGTGCTAGCTCCACATTTTATATAGTTAATAGCTGCTAAGGCCCACTGCATAGCAGGAGCCGTGCTTTTCAGATCCTTACAGATTTTTATTACAATACCAGCTACAGAGCTTTTCTATGCAGGTTTGTCTGTTTTTATCCCTGTGATTCAGGTAGATAACCTGTGAGTGTTGCCATTGTTTGGTAGGAATTGGATAGTCTTAGTGTTGAAAACTATAACAGAATACATGAACTTCAGAGTTTGACTGGTTTCTGGTTGTAGTATTTATCAAAGTTAGAGTCTTGGGCAAGTTACTTGACTTCCTTTACATTCAGTTTTCTCGCCCTTAAAAGTGAGGATAGTCATTCCCTGTTTCGTGGAGTTGAGGGGACTGAGTACGTTCATGCACGCTGGGTGCTTAGAGAGGACCTTGCTCATGACAGGACACTCAACAGATACCCGTGATCTCTCTTTGTTGGCAAAGTGATTATTTCTCCTTTTGATGTTCTGATAGATCAGGCTGCAACATACTTTATATGCATTCAACTTCATTTTCCACTTAAAGATAGAATTAAAATGATAATATTTAAAAATACAAGATAGCAAAGAGTTACTGGACATTTATGTACCAGACTCTGAACAAGTTCTTTTTTTTATCAATCTTATTCAATTGTCACAATATCTCTAGTATTAGGTAGCACTATTATCTACGTTTTGGAAAATCGGTTATGGAGAGGCTAGGTTAAACCAGCTGGGGAGCTGGGATTTGAATCCCTGCAGACTGACCCTAGAGCTCACTGTGGGTTGCAGGAATTCTGTGGATGAAAGAAGAAAAATGTACTTTTTTGCGACTTCTGAGACAGAGTCATTTTATTGCTGAGAGAAAACAAATATCGTGGAATTCAAAATAAATCAAGGTAGATCCATGAGAAGAGAGCACATCTTTAAGACCAAGGTTTTTAAGCTGAATTCTACATCATTTTTAGGTTCCTAATTATATGTTTAATTCTGTAGCTGAGAGATTCACATCCGACCTTAGAACAGACTTCGGAGTGCTTGAAAGCAGCACTCTGCATTCTGGAGGAAGGGAGACCCCTGCTCTGTTCTGGGCTCCACGGTGTCCTTTCCCAAGACGTTTGAGTTCATAGACCCTGCGACTAAAAGGCATTATGTGGGACTTGGTTCATTTTTTTTTTTTTTTTTTTTTTATCCTCATCCAAGGACATTTTTCCATTTTTTGTACAGACAGAGAGGGAGGGAGAGAGAGGAAGAGAGAGAGAGGGAAACATCGATGTGAAAGGGACACATCGAGTGGCTGCCACCCGCACGACCAACCAGGGCCGGGGACAAACTGCAACCGAGGTACGCGCCCTTAGCGGGAACTGAACCCGGGTCTCTCCAGACCGCAGGCGGACGCTCTAACCGCTGAGCCAAACCGGCCAGGGCCATTTTTTTAAAGTTTTGAAAAGATTATCCATTTTAGATAGATGAACATCTTATTTCAGAACTTCCAGAGAATCACTCTGCCCACATTGCCCACTGCTTTGTTACACGTGCCATAGACGATGAAACAGTAAGTTGATAATCATAATTCTTTATGTTGTGGCTGAAGCTGTTTTTCTTGGGAGGAGTTGGGGCTAATGGATCATTATCTATTTTTAATCAAAGCCTCGATCTTTTATTTATTTATTTTCCTAATTTTCGCAGGAGTGGGTGGATAGTCCTTAGGCCTGGTAATTTCTACTCCACTTCTCTACTCCTTTGAAACTTAGACAGAAGGAAGGGACTCCATGTGAATGACTTCTGGAATTCAATCTTCTGGCGGCAGAGAAAATTATGTGGAAACAGAATTTTAGATTTGAGACCTGACTGGATCTGTCACTGTGCCCCAGTGAACTGTGTGAACTTGAGCATGTCACTTTGCTCTCTGGGTTTGGTCTCCTTGTCTATTAGTAAAGACTTCACGATCTTAAAGGTTCCTTTTAGTTCTAAAGCTTTGGGCTTTTACACGGTAACCCCGAAAGACTACATTTGTTAAGTCTGCACTATGGCTAAAAGATTATTCATTTATTACAGAGCATTTTGATGCCTTCTGGTCTGAAGAAGCTCCAGCTGCTCTGATGATAGCTTAAGAAGACTGCGTGCTGTTCCCTCTCAATGCCAAGCCAGGCCCCGCGGAACCTCGGATCTGTCTGTCATGGAGACCAGGGCCCAGCAGGAATGGCAGTGGAGGAAATTGGCTCCCAGATGGTTCCTCCACGTGAAATGGTCTTAGGCTATGGGCCGACTCAAGAACACCTGGTAACCAGGCTTGCCCTCTGTCAGTCACCCAGAGCAGGGCATCATGGCACGGATCCAGAGGAGGAAGCTCTTGGCATCTTGCCTGTGCATCACAGCTGCCATCTTTCTGCTTGTCACACTCCAGGTACCCAGAATTTGGGTTGTGCAGTGTTGGTTCCTGGGCCTTCACCACCATCCTGCCCTACTGTTCTGTCCAAGTACTTTACTTTTTGCTTTATCTCTCAGGATCAGGGTATCCTGTCTAAGGCACTGGAAATTCTTTTTTAAGAGATGAAAGTGAGGTTTTAGTGAGTGAGCGTGTCAGGTGGGAACAAAATCAGTGACCAGGGGATTGGTTTGTGACTCTTGTAGGGTCCTGGTTTCAGAGGAGGGTAGAACTCAGTTCGTCTTACTGGGTCTTTGGATGGCTTCCTCCAAGTCCCCTGCTGGGGTCACTTCTGAAAGATGGTGAAGGCCTAGCTGTCCAGAGATCCAGACGATCCTGAAACCAGTAAAAAGTTATTGTTACTTAGCAGGGAGCTCAGTACTCATGGTTTGCTTCACCATCTCCATGCCATGGTGGGTATCGTTAGACATATATGACCCATGTTATGAATCCTTTAATTACAATAATAAGAAACCATTTGGTAATTTAACTCATTTTCCCTGGGATGTAATCACCCTGACTCTCATAGATTTCGTTAGGAGACTATTAATTATATTTTTTCTTTATTGATATTAGAGAGAGAGGAAGGGAGAGGGAGACAGAGATAGAAACATCGATGAGAGAGAACATCAGTTGGTCACCTCCTGCATGCCTCCCTTCCCCCTCCCCACTGGGGATCAGGCCCACAACCTGGGCCTATGCCCTGACCGAGAATCAAACTGGTGACCTCTTGGTGCATGGGTTGATGCTCAACCACTGAGCCTCACCGGCTGGGCACTAGGAGACTATTATTTCTGAATACTGCATGTGCCTGTGAAGTGGAGGGGAAACATGTTCTTGTGTTCAGTAGAATTAAGCATCCTTGTTGGTAGATATTTTGGAGCCCAGGCCCATGCCTTGGTCCCTGGAACCTGTGAATATGTTACGTTTCAGGGCAAACAGACTTGTAGATGGGATGCAGGTGACATACCTCGAGATGAGGAGATTCTCCAAATGACCCACGTGGGCTCAGTGAGAACCTTGCCTGGCTGTGCTCCGAGGAGGATGCGACAAGAGAAGGGTCAGAGATGCAGCACTGCTGGCTTTGAAGATGGAGAAAGGGGACCGAGAGCCCAGAATTGTGAGTGGCTCTAAAAGATAGAAAAACAAGAAAATGGATTCCCCTCCTCTTGAGTTCCCGGAAAGGAACGTCCTAGCCTTGCCATCACACCTTGGTTAGCCCAGTGAGACCGATTTCGGACGTCTGACCTCTAGAACTATATGATACTTAGTGTGCATTGTTTTAAATTACTAAGTTTGTGGTAATTTGTTACAGCAGGAATAGAAACCTGGTAAGAGACTGAATCATCAAGATGAATGGGAGATATGATGCAAAAGGTAATTAAACAGTCTAACTCTGGTAATAATTGTCTTCTCTTTTAGGTGGTGGTTGAGCTGGGAAAATTTGAAAGGAAAAAGTTTAAAAATTCCAATTTGGGAGATGGGCATGCAAAAATGGAGGAAGAGCCTACACATCTCTACCCATTCCCTAAGAAAGACACTCTTACCCTGAATAGGAAAAAAAAGTTGGAAACTGATAGCTACCCCGTCATGCTCTGGTGGTCCCCACTGACGGGGGAGACTGGCAGGCTGGGCCAGTGTGGAGCAGACACTTGTTTCTTCACCATCAACCGAACCTACCTGCACCATCGCATGACCAAAGCATTCCTCTTCTATGGTAAGTGGGGCTTTGCCTTTTGCCCTTTGCTTGCTGACACCCTTCTCTAGAGCTTACTTCCCAAGGAAGAGGTGGTGGCTTCCCCAGGACAACAGGGCAGCATACCTGATTGCCCTGGCATTTGCTCTGTGGAAGGCCTGCACATTTAGCAACTGCAATAAATCAGTATGCTTGGCCAATGTGGAGGTGGTTGGCTGGGCCACTGGCATTTATGGAGGAGAAGAGATATTTCTTCCCACCTTCTCACAGTTGGATCCTCTGCCTACTGAATTTAGTTTTGAGGGAATTTGGTTGATGATATTGCTGATATCAATTCAGAATGTCACATGACAATTGCTAGGAGATTTTGATGACCATAACAGGTGTTTAATTGGGCATAAACTAAGCACAGTGTTTTTTATTTCATTAGACTAATCAGAAATAAAAACAAAAGATTGCACAGCATCAGCTTCCAAGAGCAAGTTGGTATTTATCCCTTCTTAGGCTGATTCTGTGTCATGCTGGGATTGAGGGGCAACAAACCCAGGAAGGTGGAGTTGGTACAATGCTAGCAGCCATTGGAAATACAGGCCTCCTCAGTATGAGTGGTAGGGATAAGGGGGAACACACCTTAACAAACTCAAACGAGTGTAGGCAATGCTAATCAGTTAAGTTAGGAAGTCAGTAAAAGGAAATCTGTTCTAGACTGGTATATATGTGTTTGTGTGAATGTGTGTTTGTGTGTGTGTGTGTGTGTGTGTGTGGTAAGTATACTGTTGGGCTTTGAAGAGGTAGGACTGACACTGGGATGTAGAGCTGAGTTATTCTTGGTGTTATGCAGACATAATAACTTAAAGCAGAAAATGGGTTCAGCAGGTACCAGGGAGAAGGTGGTATATATGCCCTGCAGTTGGTCACGGTTATAGAGCAGTGGGCACCAGGCTCTGGTATAGGTAAGGAACCAGGGATATTCCAGGTATACGTGAAAGTCCAGATGTCATGGAGTCCAGGTCCACCCTGAAGGTCTGCTAATGTCCCATCCACTTGCTTTCCACCTCCAATCTTAAAAGGGAATCAGCATAGCTCAGAGCAGTGAGGGCCATTTATATGGGACCTGGCTGATGGCTAATTTGCCCTGAGGGGAGAACTACTACTTGAGTAGTATCAAATACTTATTTTGAACATCATTTGATTACAGGTTCCATGGAAGGTGTAATGTAATATATGGAATTGTATCATGATACCTTTCTAAAGAATTGTGAGTTCTGAAACAAAGCTGAGAATTTGCATAAGGGATTATTATTCTCTAGTTGTATTTGTTTTGTGATGAAGCCAAATTAAACATATGAGTTTAGCTTTCCAAACTTTAACAGAAACCCCTAGAAGTATTTCAGTTATACAAAAACATATAGATAGTATAATGGCTACTTATGTACCCTTCAACATAGCTTAAGAAAAAAATAGTACAAGTAAAACCAAAACCCTCTATGAACACTTCCCTTACTCCATCCCATTTCCTTCCCTCCTATCCCAGAGGGAGTCATAATCCTGAAGTTGGTGTGCATATGTGTATAGAAACACACAATAACATAAATAATATATATATAATTTTTGTAAAAATTATATAAGTAGTATATATTAACTTTCTATCACTAGTTTTTTCTCTTACATGTTTTTTTTTTTTTTTTAATCCTCACCCGAGGACATTTTTCCATTTTTTTGTACAGATAGAGTGGGAGGGAGGGAGAGGAAGGGAGAGACAGACAGAAACATCGACGTGAAGGGACACATCGAGCGGCTGCCACCCGCACGACCAACCAGGGCCGGGGACAAACTGCAACCGAAGTACGTGCCCCTAGCGGGAACCGAACCCGGGTCTCTCCAGACTGCAGGCCGACGCTCTAACCGCTGAGCCAAACTGGCCAGGGCTTACATGTTTTTTTTTAAAGCATACTTTATTGATTTTTAGAGAGAGAGAGAGAGAAACATCAATCAACTGCCTCCTGCATACTCCCTACCAGGGATGAAGCCCACAACCTGGGTATGTGCCCTTAACCAGGAGTTGAACCGGCAACCTCCTGGTGCATGAGAGGACACCCAACCGAGTCATACTGACCAGGGCTGTTACATAGTTTTTGAAGTTTATCGATGTTGATTGCTTACAGCCCCATTCCATTCATTTTTCACTGTTGTATAGTATTCCATTGTATCTATATATCACACTTCATGAAATCACCTTCTTGTTGTTGGACACAGGTTATTTTTCCAAACCTTACTTATGATAATGCTACAACAAGCAATCCATGTACATGTGTGAAATTTTGTGAGTTTTATACCCAGTGGTGGAATTTATGTTTATCGGCTGTTGCCAAACCAGTACCCAAAGTGGTTACATCACTCACTGTCTGTGAAACATTTACAACTTGTTAACATGTTATAATGCATACATAGCTCCTGTATTTCCAAATAATGTACTTAGATGGTTACATTTTGATTTTTCACTTTTAGACATTATATATTGACTCTTACTATGGAAGATAAGTATTTAAGTTTCCTTCCTCACCCCTGCCCCCAACGCATGCTCAATTTCTCATCCCTAGATCTTTGCCAAAAAGTCATACCTTTTAGGTGGGTTAATATTCAGTGTTTGCATCATTATATAGTCACGGTGAACCAAGACTACTGTAGTATACTAGGATTCCTTTTCCTGCACAACTTTTTTGCCCTGGAGTAGCATCAGATATTCTTAAAGAAATGTCTCCAGAGATTCCTGACCTGCTCTAGTCTAGAGCATTTATCCTTTTTGTCTGGTGCACATTCTGGGGCTTCTCTGTGCCTCCCTCTTGTGTTGGATTTTCTGTTACTTTTATGCCTTGTCTTCCTCTTTCTTGGTTTATGTCTTTAGTTCTGTGTGTTGTGAGAAAGTTTTGGGGGATGGGAGGTAAGTTTTTAGAGACTTTGTATTTGTGAAAATGTGTTCATTTTACCATTACTTTCACTGATGGTTTGGCTCAGCATAGAATTCTAGGTTGGAAATTCTTTTCTTTCTAAAATTTAAAGCTATTTCCCCACTGTCTTCTAGTTTCCAGTGTTACTGCTGAGGAATCCAAAGCTCTTGATTCCCCATCCTTTGTGCTTTTTCACCAGTTTGGAAATTCGGTAATGATTGCTTTGGTGTGTGTCTGTTTCCTTTTATTAAGGTAGGCACTTAATCTGGTTACCAGGACGTCTGCAAAGCAGTATTTAGCTTAGTGACTTTTTCCAGGACTCACAGATCTACAGGTTCACACACTTAATTTTATTAGCACCATAAGATTAGAGTTTTCTCTCAGGGATGGACTTGCCTCCTACCAAATTCCCAGAAGACTAATGTGTTAGCCAGATTGCTTTTGGTTTGATTTTCATATCGCAGATTTTGTTACTCTCCAGTTCCTTACCTACCAATGACTCTCACAGGAAACTAAATATATGTCATTTTTATTGTGCTGGCTGTCAAGTCTGTGTGCATTCGGACTCAGCAGGCTCTTAAACTATCAACTAAACCCTATGTTCAAAAAAACAAAGTGGCATACTCACCAAATTAGGCATAAGCCACAAGTGTCCCTGACTTAGCACCATTGTTTACTCCATTTCTGTGTCCCAGGGAGTCTCTTTTATATTTGTCCTGTTCAGATAATCTACTGAATACCTACCATATGTTTGGCAATGTGGAGGAATGATACGGTGTCTGATGTCACAGATCCGTATCTTGAGACAAAGATATTACCCAATGGTAATGCAGGGCAAATGACATATATACCATAAGAGAAATGCTAGCAAATCCGTGGGATTTCAAAGGAAAGAAAAAACATATCGGATTGGAGGGATCAAGAAAAGCTTCCTAAGACCTCCTTCATAACAAAGGAAATTTGCAGTGCATTTTGAGGGGTAATGGAATTGGATTATGCTGGGATTGGAGAATATTTCAGTATGAAGAACAGCATGAATGGGGCATGGAGGTAGAAACTTATGGGTGATACCTGAGATACAGTAAGACTATAGCATAGTTTTGTGTAAGAGAGAGATAAAAATCGAAGGATATGTTGGGACCACAGCATGGAGAACGTCTAATGTTGGCTTAAAATTTTGCATCAAATTAGGGGATGGTATCAGGGAGTTGCTGAATATTGAATGGCTTTTTAAAAACAAACTCAATTATAACACCTGTGAACCATCCCTGATTCCCCTCCATTAGATACAGCCTCTCCTCTCGATGGCCATAGAGCATCTTACATCTCTTTTATGTCATCAAATCAAGTGTCTACTATATGCCAGGCACAGTGCCAATCACAAATAAGGTAACTATGGCAATTGGTTTTGCCCTGTATGATCTTCTTTTCCCCAGAAGTGTGTAAAGTTCTAAATGATAAGGCAACATCAATTCATCGTAGTACCTCCCCTGCTTCCTATGTCTAGCATAGTGCCTTGTACATGTAGGTACTCAGGAAGTGTTCACAGAGACTTAGAACCGTAAAGGACCTGAGAGACAGTCTGAACTCCTCTTTGTAAAGATGCGAAGTCCAAGGCTCAGGACGACCTAGGAGTTAGCATAGTGGGGCAGAGGTGACAGCTGACCCGGCTCTCTTACCTATCCCCTTTTTGAATGTACACTCACGAACCTGGATATTTCGGTTTTGAAATTGTTTAAGGTGTATGGATTTTTTTTTTTTAACAGACTGAATTAGAAATTTAGTTCGTTAATAAGGTCTGTTGAGCAAAATAGAATGAAGACAACACACGTTTCTTTCCGAGGGTTCCGAATTCTAATTAAGTAGGTCACTTGAAACTGCAGGTGGGACTATGGTGCAGTAGGATTGAAAAGGAAAAGGCAGGGGAAATGACTCAGGTGTCAAAAGCTGACCTAATTAAGGGGAATGGAAACCCAAAGGAGTATGTGATCTCAAAGCTTCTGGAAACCAGAATACTTTTTAGTTTGTTCGTTTTCTTTGCAGCCTACTTTCTTTTTTCTTCCTGGAGATAAT